AAACCATTTCAGGTGACTACCTCTTGAAGCTCATGGAGAGAATGCCAAGAGTGTGCAAAGCAGTAATCAGAGCAAAGGGTGGCTATTTTGAAGAAACTAGAATATAAAACATGTTTTCAGTTATTTCACCTTTTTTTGTTAAGTACATAACTCCACATGTGTTCATTCATAGTTTTGATGCCTTCAGTGAGAATCTACAATGTAAATAGTCATGAAAATAAAGAAAACGCATTGAATGAGAAGGTGTGTCCAAACTTTTGGCCTGTACTGTATATCATGGATCATCAGTCAGCCTGTAAATACCGAGATATGAATCTTTGTCCATATCAACCAGCTCTAACTGCAGTCACCAAAAGCAAAAGTTATACTGACTCTTCTTTGTGTTCCCAGTTGACACAAAAACAAGTTGAAACAAGTTATTGTTGTTAAATATAATAAATAGATTATTTAAATTTGACCATATGATCTTAATGTGTTAGTTTCCAAAAAATATGGCAGTTACATAACACTGGAGACTGTGTAGCTGTGCCATGTCTTTTTTAAGAAGGTTTTGGTAAGATTCAATAGTCTACAAATTGGCATAGCTTTCAGTGCTGGAAAAAAAATCATGACCATAAAATCTACAACTGTGGCTCTGGAGAATCGTGACACCCATACTGTACAGTATATTCATGGTTTAAGACTGTGAAAACTCTACCTGACCTTGGCCCATTAAAAACTGTGTGGCACTTTTAAAGAGATGAGCAGATGTGGAGAGCATTATTAAAACCTCAGCTTCACCTGCTCAGACTGCAGGCCGCTTTTACTTTTAAAAATGTGTTCATAGGGATAACTACGGCTCTAGTGTCTGTTCCAGATGGCAAGCGTTCGCTTCTGGTTTAAAATGTAGCAGGAAATACATCCTCACTGACCCTGTACTTCCTGCTATACTGTCCAGTTTGTGACAGTAAAGTTTTTAGTGTTCTGACATTTGGAATATATTAAATATCTTTCCTGATAAAGTGTGTTTTATTACTGTTAATGTACTGCTTCATGAAATATATTGCTTTAACATCCCTTTTTTATCTTTTTTTACAAAAACTATATAAATCTCTTCTTATTTTCTTGTGTTTTATACAATAAAATTACTCCAACGTGTAAGAGGAAATATGATACAGGTGTACATGCACCCAACATAACCCAGTTACAGTAAGTAGGGCATTATATAAACACCACTCAGACAGCCAGTGTGTTATTTTTTGTATTTTTTTCACCATGACTGTGCCCCTGCTTTCCCACAGCTGTGAAGAGGAAGTACTGCTGATATAATAACTGTCCTTTTAACAGCAGTAAAACAGATATAGTGTAACTCCCTGGGTGCTGATTGCCGGGGAGGATTTCCCCCTCTCTGCTTCTGAGACCCCCTTCTGTGGTCATTCATTTTTTTCTCCAGTGGGGATACATGTTATCTCTGCTTCTGGTGAGACTGAATAAATTAAATGCATCTCATATTTCCACCGGTGGATTGTGCAAGTTGCGAAGCATTACCAGCTATTTTAAAAACACATGGATCAGAGTTGCAAGTGGATTGAACTCTCATATGTTCATATGGTGCTGCTGTTTTTCGCAGTTTTTGCTATCATCATTTGCAGGCACTGGGAGGTGTTCTTTTCAACATGTACATATCAACACTCATGTTCTCTGAGGCAGCTTTGTACGCCTACTTTACACTGGAAACTGTCTTTACAGCCATCTGAACGCAGCAGGCATCTGTTTGCTTCTGCACTCTCTCTCTCTGATTAATTATTCTACACATAAACAGGCGTGTTGGAAACTGATGCATTGAAACAGTTCATAGAGCTCCACGTAAAATTGTGAAACACCTAAAATGTCTCACTCCACTTATAATTCCCTCTGGACTGTTCGTTTCTCCCAGTCTTTCTGCCCAGTTTCTTCATCGGGGTAATGGCTGAGTGTGCATGTCATCTTTTACAAAACGGCACTGGTCAATATGTTGCCTGGAGCTTCACATTGTTAACTCTACTACAGGTAGATGTGTGGCCGTGATGAGCATTTTTAAGTTTCGCCTGACTAAAACTTTCTGCAGAAACTGTCATACCCCTTTTCGACAGTCATGGGCTGGCCTAGCTTGGCTTGGCTTGGTTCAGGCCGTCATCCCAGCACAGCAGGGATTTGCATTTCCATTACAGCAGTGCTACCCTCTTGAAGGTGTGTCTGATGAAACTGATGATGGCTCGTCTTGAGTGATGACGTTTGAAAGCAGAAGGTTGATCCATGGTTTAAGTCCCCGGTTGTTTTTGCTGCATGTGTTTTTCCATCACACAGCAGGGCAGGTAAAAGAAGTTTACCTGTTGGAGGTGAGCTGTTTGCAGAGGTGCATTAAGAGCCTGTTGTCTGCAGCCCTTCATCAGCCTCTCACTGTGGCTGTTTCTGATTTCACTTTCCTCCGTCATATTATTAGACTTGCCTTTACTGAAGAGAAACTGCTCGCAAAGTTTCGCCAGTTCAGTAATAACACACTTCATTTCCTATCAGTTCTTCACAATAAAAGTCCCCTGTTATTTTGTTATGTGTAAACTTTAGAGCAGCAACTTAACACAACCTCTAATACAGCTGATAGCGAACATGAAACAGTAAAATAAATCAGAAATGTAAAGTAAAAACAGGACGCAGGAGAGAAACTAAACTCAAAACCACAGATTCAGTTAGAAGCTACAAAAGTACTGAGAGCTGAACACACAAACTTTTAAAAACGCCTTTCTCTCTGGACTGCAGACAGCGGTCTCGCAACACACGCTTGTTCGGGGGGGAGAAGGGGGTCAGCTGCAGTGGGCGAGACACCTTTTGGACCTACTGCTGAGAAGGTCCATCCACGGTGCGTCTAAACTGACAATGGAAACAAAGATCTGCGCAGCATGACTTTACTCGGCGCGGCCAAGAGTGACACTCCTGACTCACTGGGCAGGGTGCATCTGACTGTGATCTGGCTGCGACGCTGGGTTTACGATAGAGTGCGCGGTCTCCTTTTGTACGCACAGAGCAGCAACTAACCATTGACTTATGTCAGTAAAGAGATTTAAAACGCTCAGGAAGGGAAAGTACTGTCAGCTGCACATGATGACTCATTAATAACATGTATGTTTTTCTGTTTAGGTCTGGGTATAGCGTCGCTTCTCATTGCCCTGCTGGTCCGAGTCCTGTTCACCTTCGCCTGTGTGTTGTGTGCGGGCTTTAACTTGAGGGAAAAAATCTTCATAGCCCTGGCGTGGATGCCCAAAGCCACAGTGCAGGTATGTAAGCGCTGAAATATTAGTCAGCTGCACACTCATCTTTCTGAGAGTCTTTCCAGTACATCATTTTTGTGGTGCATGCCTGCGAATGTTTTTCTTTTGGAAAATAGACACTCAACATGTTTTTTCTAACTTCAAGCATCCTCTCATTGTGATGGTTAATTTGTTGTTGAGTAAAGATGAAAAACTCATGTTGTTTTTTCCCATCAGGCAGCTATAGGTTCCACGGCTTTAGACATGGCCAGGACAAAAGAGGACACGCAGCTACAGAAGTACGGCATGGATGTGCTCACTGTGGCCGTGCTGTCCATACTGTTCACAGCTCCTGTAGGAGCTCTTGTCATAGGACTCAGTGGACCTCACCTGCTACAAAAACCAAAGAACTCTGCCTGTGGTGAGCGAGTCAAACCCAATTTATCAGCCTTCTTCTTAGGTGGGTAAAGGTCTACATTCAACACTTCAGCCCAGCTCAGCAGCCCTGTGGACCCTGGCTTCATAGTTGTGCTCGAGTAGTGAATATAGTCTTCCCTTCTTCACCTTTGTGATAGATGCATCCACTCAGATAAGGATTTGCATAGTTGTAGGTTGCCTTTGTTTACCCTGTCATTCAAGCCCTCATGTCTTTTACATCCACACAACACTGGCATTGTTTAAGTACACTGAACTAACCACACAGCAGAATTACAACTCATGCTTGTTGTACTCTTTCATTTGTTTACTAAAGAATCCGACTAGCATGCGATCAGTCTTTCACTGAGGCTTTTCCATCTGTCTCCTCTCCGTCTTCCCCAGGCACTGCAGCAGGAGGCGAAGATGACACTGAAACTCCTGTCACCTACGAGAGCACCCTCTGACATCACCCGTCTCCACCCAGTAAGCAAGGACATTTAAAGAGACTTGCCTGGTGCTTTCACACCTCGAACATTTGAGCTTTCCTTTAGCCACCGAGTGGCTCTCTTTGTCTCCTTCTATCTGCTGGTCAGCTCCTGATGTTTGCCATGCTGCGGGAACACATGAATCACTCTTTATTTATAGCTTCTGGTGGTTTCCAGACCTCAGGCTCTAAACAAATGACCCACATCCCAGCGTCTTCACCATCATGCTGTGTGACAGCGTACAAGAGGTTGTCTTGTTTCTGGTACCAAATTAACTTTTCAACAGCTTTATTAGCGTTAAGCATACGTTTGGTTTACTGTTTTGTAAAGGTGGATATTTTCCTTTCTATCATAATCACTGAATCCAATATTCGCCCATTTGTGCGACGACACATCAGGTAACTATTTACTGTATTTGGACCTCAACAGATGGTGATGTTGTACTTTACTAGAAGCTTTATTTGGGAGGCTGCGTTATTGAATGCACTGAGAGTAGCAATATTTTATTGTTTTAAATTAGACCACACAGTTTGTAGGTGTTGTGCACTCAGTATGATATTTATGCAGCTATGTGTTTGTGTATTTTTACGTACGTGTGAATAAAATGTGTACTAGCTGTGACTTGGTGACGAGAACGGTTTGTGTAGTTATGAAAAACTTCTAAATAATCCACAACACTTTCCTCTGGTTTGTAAAGATGCTGCTGAAACTCATTTGTCTGCTTTCAGTGTCAGGAATGCTCATCATGTCCATATTCAATTCATTCATGTAAACCCAACCTCTGATTGATTGTAAGGGAAAGTCGATTTTTCACATTTGTTACGTTTGTTTTTTATTACAGAAGTATGCAGTGTAACTTAATATAAGCTTAATTTGAATTTATTTACATTTCCTCATTGTGTATTTTTAGCAACTATTTATGATAAAGTGACAGATTTAAGCATTAGTTTTTTACCAAATATTCTTTATACAATAAATGATAAAAATACACCATGAATTGTTCTTCTCTTGCATTTTGAATGTATTTTAAAGTTCATGTTTTGGTGTAGTGGTAGACGAAAAACTTAAATTATTTGCCTGGGTCCAGACCTTTGTCCGCTCGCTGACGATTCTGTCTGATATCAGGCAATAAAGTTATTACTATGCAAGAACATTTGTACGATTTGATTAACTGTGTGTCTTATTATGTCTTTAATTAAAGTCCCTGTCCTTTTTAAGTGTCTGCTTCTAATGTGTTTGCTTTTCATCCGCACTAGCAGCGTGGCTCTGGGGATGGCAGCTTTGGTCTCTCAGTTGGTCGATCACTTTGACTGAAATGTCTAAACAACTGTGAGTTGGACTGTCACTAAATTTGTTAGATACCCACAGTGCCAAGAGGATGAGTCCTGCTGACTTTGGTTAAAGTTGACATTTGTGATTAAGGTTAAAATGTCTCAACAACAGCTGAATGGATTGTCATGAAATTTGGTGCAGACATTCCTGTTTCCCACAGGACAAATTGTAATAACCTTGGTAATTCCCTAACCTTTAATCTGGTGCCACCATGAGGTCAACATCTTTAATTTTAGATTCAGGAATAATATATGAAAAATTGATGACATTCCCATTAGCTTCAGCTGTAGTTGTTTGATGCTATTGAGCAAATGTTGGCATGTTGAACAAAGATGAACATGGTAAACATCAGAGGAGGGACCAAGTCATTGTTTTGCAAGTCACAAATAAGTCTTAAGTCTTTGCACTTAAGTTCCAAGTCTTAAACTTTGATTTCAAGTCCTAGACGAGTCATGATAAGGTCTTCACCAAATATAAGGCAATTTTAACAACAAACTAATATTAAACATACAAAAATCTTAAATTCTTTTTAAAACAAGTTTCTTGAAGTTGTTGCATCTTTGTAATTAATGACTTGCACATTTTGCATACTGCAATGTGTTTCTGTTGACCACCGCAGCTTGTGTATGCGAATGAATAAATCCTTAGTAACATTTTTGCCAACTGGCGCTCAGTAACGTAACGTTGGTTCTTCATGGCTCTCTCTTGGAACTTGATTGGATGCTGTTAGACTGGTTTGAACAAAGTGGATCGGGGAAATTCAGTGTTCACTTGCTGGGAAATTAATTGGTTAATGGCACACTTTTAATATACACAATCAGCCAAAACATTAAAACCAGTGGTGGGTGAAGTAAGTAACATTGATCATTTTGTTACAATGCAATGTTCTGCTGGGAAACCTTTGGTCATGGCATTCATGTGGATGCCACTTGACGGCTTCCACACACCTGGACACCGCTGTGGGCTAAGTAACCCCCCCTCACAGCAATGGTACTCCCTAAAGGCAGTGGCCTTTAAAGGCTAAAGGCATCAAACTGGCCTCCAAATTCCCAAGATCCAAATCTGATTGAGCATCCATGGGACATGCTGTTACCCCTGAGGTACCCCTAATCCAAATCCACAGTGGGACCTCCCTGAATTGGACTTGTCTCTAACATGTCGAGGCATGGACACATGACCTTTGGAAGGTGTCCTGTGGTGTCTGGCACCAGGGTGCTGGCTTCCGATCATTTGAGACCTGTCAGTTTTGAGGTGGGGTAACAGTACATCCCAAGATGCTCAATCAGATTGGGATATGGGAGTTTTGGAGGCCAGGTCGATATCTTGAGCTTTTTGTCATGTTCCTCAGGCCATTCCTGAGCAGTTTTTGTGGTGTGGCATGGTGCATTTGTCTGCTGGGTGGCCACTGCCATCAGGGAGTACCCTTGCCGTCCTTAGCCCACAGCGGTGTTTGGGTGGGTGGAAAGAATGCCATGACCAAAGGTCTCCCAGCAGAACACTGCATTGTAACAAAATGATCCATGTTACTCACTTCACCCACCACTGGTTTTAATGTTTTGGCTGATCGGTGTATATATCTTATCTTGGGGGAAAGTTTCAAGTATTTCAAGTCAAAAGGCTCGAGTCTAAAGTCATCCAGTTTGTGACCTGACTCCAAATCGTGATTCAAGTCCTCACCTTTCATTCTGCCTGCTAAACACCAGCATGTTAAAATGCTAAAGTTAGCATTTAGCACAAAGTATCTCTGTATAGCCTCATCGAGCCACCAGTGACTTAAGTCTTATTTCTGTTGCTTTAAATACATCAGCATGAGGAAATGTGATGCCACTGGTGTCATCTCTTTTCCTCTTTTTGAGGCTGAATTAACAAAAGTGCTGAAACTAATGCACTCCTGTGGAAATCTGACCCTAAATATAAATCCCATTTGAACAAACAAGTTGCAGACAATTAAAAAATGATGTACTCAGTTACCTCATCATTCATTTTAAATCATTTCAACTCAAGGTGAAGTGTTCTCCTCATCGTAATAGTGAAAGCAGGGAATGAAGCTGCACTTCTGTTTGCCAAAAACTGTTGAGTTTAACATCCTGACTATTATTTTTTACATTTTACAAATCAAACACAGAGAACAGATTCCAGCCATCATCGTACAAAGGTTCATAGACAGTCATTCACAGGCATCATCATTGTCGAAGTACAGATCTGACAATACACGGAGGTTATGTAAAAAATATTGCTGATGAATAAAGAAGAAATATTCCAGCAGGAGGTCAACTATATACAGCCATTGTGACAATGAAGAAAGCTACAACAGAAAAAAGTACAGAGCAAAATTCTTATGTTGCAGAAGTTAATAAAACCTCAACATGGCAGTGAGGTTAAAACTGTATAGGTGGATATTACTCAACACTGCAGTGGTCTGAAATGTTGTTAGGCAACAGAGTTGGGTACAAAATGTTAAACTTAAATGTGTTAAGGCTATGAACAAAATACACTTGAAGAATAATAAGTAGTCTCCCATACACACAATAACTTATAAGAGAGTATATCACATCCTCAGAGCGACCAGTATGTTGATATTTGGCACACAGACAAGAAGCAGGCTGTTAAATCATCCCAAATATCATCCAAAAGGAAAGCATACAGTACAAAATGTTGATTCTAGGTTGGACTCGTGTTAAGTATGTCATTTAAACAACCATTAAACTGGGAAAAACTTTGACCTTGATGGATTCAGATCATTAAAAGTCATCATAAAGTCACTGCATTTATGTTTCAAGCTCTCCTCTCAAAGTGGTCCCAATGATCTGTAACTGACTGCGACAAACCAAAACTGGACTTACAGTCACATAAAAAGGCTGCTCTGTGAACCTGCAGAAGTAAACAACCAACAAAAGCCCATAAAAAACAGAAACTGCATGACCTAAAACACAGTTCTCACACAACCAGACTGGAATTTAGCATTTTCACTTCAAATAAAGACTCTGGTCATCCACGTCTCTGAGCAACACTAACATGACACCAAGACTCTGTGAATAAAATAAAAAAAGGATAGAGAACATACTGGAAGGAAATGAAAACTAAAGACTGAGGAGGTGAGAGGAAAACTCCCATCAGGCCGATTATAGTATCTTCTTTTTGAGTATGAGCGGTCCCACGTTGTCTCCAGTTAGCTCGTTGTGCTTTAAGTGTGATTTGTCACAAACAGGAAACTAGAACAGGAAACAGCTTAATATTAGCTGATCAACCAGATACAGGAACAATAAACTCCTCCTTATTCTGAATTATTTTTTAAAAATACATAAAATATAATGCAAGTAAGCCAACCATATTCCAATAGAAATAACTGTTGAATCTTAAAGAGGTATAACTCACAGTTTTGGAGCGCCAGCAGCGACAGTAACACACGTTTGCGCTGTTCAGGTCCTCGATGTCTATCTCATTCACCACCTTGGGGTTCTCCTTCTGGATCTTCAGGTTGATCAGGCAGTCTCTCTGCTTCTTCTTCTTAGGCAGGAATGGGCGAATGGTCAGATAGCCCAGCAAAGCCAGGATACCCAGGAGAGGCAGCAACCTGAGCCACTCAGACACTACACACACACACACGTTTGCAAAGATAGGAGAATAAGTGTTAGTGGTTTTCAGTTTCAGAGCAACTGTTTTGTTATCTGAGTCTGATGCTTTCCTTTAGCTTTTCTTAATCAAAGAAGAATATCTGCTATGCCAGCCTTTGTGGCGTTCATATTGTTAGCATTTACCCTCAGTGACGGACGTGCTGCACAGTTGGGAAACAGCTGCACTTGTGCCTAGAGCATCAAGTACACATCATTCCTGTAATTTAAGCTCATTTTGTGTTAAAATGTTACTGTTAAATGCTGGCGTTTTCCACCCTTACTTTAAGTCATCATTTTACAGACATTTAAAGCAGCACTGTTGTCATCTATCTTCGTGAAATGAAGCCACGCTTTGGACCTTCTTGTTTCAAGTTTCCAGCAGCGTACACGCAAGTTTAATGTCACTGTTTTGTAATACAAACTGTGAGAGAAACAAGCTGGCATCATTAAAAGGAATTAATAAGCTCGGGGGCATCCCATCCCTAATAACTGAAAACTGGTATACCCTGCGTAACAAGAATGTAAACTTAAACCAGTGTCAGCCATGGGTTGAAAATGTGTACCCTGAGAGGGGTTAAGGCTGCATGTGCATTACTGGAAGCTCTAAAACCTGACAATTCAATTTGTAGTTGAAGGTTGTCATTGATTAATCAGAAACTATTAGGATTATTGTTTAGGTTAATCATTTTCTAGGCGAAGACTACAGATATTTCCTGGTTGAGGCTCCGCTAATGTGAGGATATGCTGCTTTTCTTTGTCATATATGTGAGTACACTGTCAAATTAGGCTGACAGGGCATGGTGGTACTTAGCATTGTGGGGGGTTGGAACCCAGGGTGGGGGAGCCCTTCTGTGCGGAGTTTGCATGTTCTCCCCGTGTCAGTGTGGGTTTTCTCCAGGTACTCCAGCTTCCTCCCACAGTCCAAAGACATGCAGGTTAATTGGTGACTCTAAATTGCCCGTAGGTGTGAATGGTTGTCTGTCTCTACATGTCAGCCCTGTGATAGTCTGGCGATCTGTCCAGGGTGTACCCCGCCTCTCTCCCAGTGTCAGCTGGGATAGGCTCCATCTTTGTAAGAAACATTTCTTCCATTACTTCCACTGCATCCATGGTTGTGTGCCATCCAGTGAAACAGCTTTATGATTTGTTTCTCTTTATTTTACCGCCATGCATGCAAAGTGCCCAAACCTCATGAGTTTACAAGACACCACACAGTACAGCTGCTGTGGTCCAATATTTCTTTACTTTTTATGTCAAATATACAGGTTAAT